TGATCTGTTTCTGAGCATATTTTTAAATGTTATAATACTTGTTTTAGTATGAAATAAAGAGTATATATCTATCTAATTGCATGACGTTTCAATCAGTTTGCACTAGCTGTGGTCACAACGTATTTGAGTCCGTGTGGAGATTTACTACACTCATAGTGAATTCAAGAAAGTCATTTCAGGCTTTTGTAGTTCATATTTCTCAGTTAGTGCAAAACCGTTATTACTCTTGTAATAACATTTAGTATACGAAGTCAAGGATCCAAAAACCCTCGGTTTAATTAATTTTAAACTCAAATAAAGGCTCACATAGTTAATTAAACAAAGCACTGAGTAAATTACGTAAATATACCGTTCCTACACACATGTGTCGGTTTCCACTGTACTACATAAAAGGGCTACTTTGGGACAATACTTATTTGAATACGCAGTACAACTTCCTTCAAGTATGTTTAATAAACAGTTACTTAGTTGAAATATGTAGTCCACCACTCACACTCAGTTACCAAACTTCAACGATGACTACAGCCGAGGATATAACTTCAGCGAGATTTTATACTGCAAGGATGGTGTGGTAGTGTAAGCGGTCATCTCGCTGCTTTCTACTTCGCTGAGCGTTGTGGGTTCGATTCCTACTGGGATCTGGGTGTTCTTTGTGACCATATGAATGTTTGTAAAGTCCAGGATATATTCCTACTGCTGGAGGTGTATTAAAAAAAAAGAGGGCTCGGACTGGCCGGTAATAGTCGAATTCTATAATGTGTTATTTTCGCAAAACAGTCTGATAGAATGACAGTAAGCGAAAGTTTAAGACTCGGCTCTTACCGATAACTTGCTTGATTTGTTTTGATGAAAAAATCAACTATTGTATGTGTCTAATATTTACAACAGTATTATACATACTGCTATGTCTGTCTGTACATTTCTGTATAAAATATATACTGTAGCGATGTGTAATAAAGATGTATATATAAAGAAACAATAAGTTATATTCTAGTAAAACTTCTAAAAGTTATAATTTCTATGCTAACGTATTCTAAAAAAGTGCCATAACCATCACGGTCTGCTTGGTATTACAATCTATAAAGGAATATAAATTATTTTACTTAATTTCTAATTGTAGTTTGAAAAAGTCAGCACAGGCTGAATTGTCATTAACTGTTCATTCTGAAGCAGCTAAAACTGGTGTCTATTTTAGAACCGGCAGATAATAAAAGTTCTCGAAAAATCTCAAAATGATAGATTTTAACAATTTTATATACATCGATTACACTCAATTTTAATTTATTCCTAATACAAACTACAACAACTACAAACTGCATACATAATACTGTTGTAAATATTAGACACATACAATATTTTCTTTTTTCATTGTAAGAAATCAAGCAAGTTATCGATCACTGTCATTTATTCAATCAGACTGTTTCGCCTCAAATTATAGAATTCACAATGTTTCAAAGACTTTTAGGCTGCAAAATTCGTCACCGAAAGGAGCTGCTCATTAAAACAAGGAATTGCTTATTAAACATCTAAAAAAAGTTATTTTCAATACTTTTCTAAACTAAATATTCAGCCTTTAATAGTCCACTGCTCGACATAGACCTATCCTTAGACAGGAGGTTTTGGCCTACTATACCACGCTGTCCAGAAGGGATGGTATAGGATTTGTGTCAAGTTTTTCTTATCTTTTCAGCGCTGTTGTCCTGCGTAAGCTCCCTTAGCTCTCTTACGACACCCGCGGGATGAATAGGGGTGGTGACACTCCGTATTCTTAATCCATCATCACACGGACACATACTAAATATTACTGTTTACTAAATGAATTATGTATTGAGTTTTGTAACAAATTACAGCCATACATATTTTTACCAACAAAGTATACCCTTGTAAATTTCCTAACAAGAAAATTAAATATTTATAATGGTGTAATTTATCTATTTCAAACAAATTACAGAATATCGGTACTCCAATTTGCACTTGACAATGACAAGTTGAGGCAAGTAATTAAGACGAATTCTTTAAGCTGAGATCACACTGTACAGCATTGTTTTGGCCCGCTTTTTCGGGATAAAAGTCATTGGCGAATTTTGAACGCATTAGCGTGACAAAACGGCTCGATGTCAGGGGCCAGTCCCTCGTCAACTTGGGTTTATTGTCTGAGTCACCGTGACGGAGTACCCAGTGGCCACCCGCCCTTATCTCGTGTGAATCATTACAATTATTTTCCACTGGACGATCGTTTTTCAAACTTGTTTTTTCTTAGAAGGTATTTTTGAAAAATTCTCTGTGAGAATTAGGTCAGGTTAAATTTATCGGCTGTTCATTGGTGCTGAAAACGATTTAGAATGTTTTTTACTTAAAGTTTCTAAAGCTGCTACTTCGGGGACTGTAATGTATGGTCGAAGAGTTAGTAATGTTATTTTACATTTACATCATACATAATTTATTACTACATAATGTAATTCCCTGAAACTTTGATAAAGAATGATGGCTAAAAGAATATTTTTTTTATATTAGGCTGTTATAAACACATATTGTAAAGCACATTACAGGTTCTTGTGATTTTTACGTTTTATACCTACTGCTACTGGTGTTTTTGTTTATTTAGCACTTTCTTGATTTTTCTCAACAACAAACAGATCATCTGATCACACTAGTATAATATAATGCCTGGCAATAAACGGTCCTATTGATATAAGAATGTTTAATCTATATTTTCTTTGAGGTGAGAATTTTCATTGCGCGATACGGTATCCGTAGTTACTTTCCTCAGTAGTAGTTTGACTTATTTTCGCTAGATGGCGCCAAAATATATTTTCTGAATTCATATTTTGCAAACATTACATTTGTTCATAACGATGCCCTTCATAGCCCTCCTGTTTATTTGTCCATTAAATTAATCACGTTATTTTATAAAACGTGATTTTCCACTTAGAGATGTGCAGTTGAAAGGGATAGCGTATTTTCATGTTGATGGGATTATACGAAATTTGTCACACACCTTAAATTTGTTTGTTTTGTCAAATGACAGAGACAGAATGATAAGTTTTTAAAAGGATTTTTGGTGGATACTCCCATTTTGTAATTAACCTGATATGGTTTCTGAAATTACTACAGTATAAAATTTAATTTAAAGGGATGTAGAAATGGATCACAATGTCGAAAACTCGATCGGGTACCGTTTGGCGGTCTGAAGTCTTTTCGGTCGACAACCTACAAAAATATATTTCCAAATTAATTACACAGTTTTATAATAAGGTTCACGTGCAGGAATTAAATACAAGATATCAAGTACCTTTTAATTGCCTAACGTTTCGACCAGATTGCACTAGCCGTGGTAATAGGTTGACCGGCAAGTAATGACATGTTCGGTGGCAAAAAAAACATGCCAAATTTTCATACAGAATGTCTACACAATTAGTGTAGATAGATAGATAACTCTTTATTGTACAAAAAACATAGTAAAAAGAAGAAATCAGTTTGTATACATTGGTGTATAATATATAATAATATAATAATATAATGGCGATGGCGGTATTCTCAGGAAGTTCAAAGGTCCATAATGCATAGAGTACTGCTATTGCGGTAATGTCTGGAAATAAACGTAATTATACCCGTTAATAACATTGATTGTATAGAAAACTAGCCTTTGCCCGCGCCTTCGTCTGAATAAATGTCGATCATCGCGGTAAAAAGTAGCCTATATCTTTAATCAAGAATCAAAGTATCTCCATACTAAATTTCATCTAAATCGGTTTAGCGGTTATTGATTCCCCATACAAACTTCCACCCCCCCTTTTCACCCCCGTAAGGATGATTTCTGGGATAAAAACTATTTTTAGACGATCTCTGTACCAAATTTCATCTAATTCGCTTCAGCGGTTTAAGCGTAAAGAGGTAATAGACAGAAAGACAGACAGACAGGCACACTTTCAAATTTATAATGTTAGTATGGATAATTAACCGGAAGGAATTAAGTAAATTCTACAGTAATAAAAACCTTACAAATAATAATTGATAAATTTAAGCGGAAAAATTTAAGATATAATTTAATTTATTAGGACTGAAAACAATTGAAAAAAAAGAAAAAAACAACAGCCGTTAACAAACAAAGAGGCAACGTGACAGGACATTAATAAATATAATATCGTTACGTACAGAAAATTACTGAGACAAAAAACGGTGAATGTATCGCTTTCTAGACTGTTTATATTCGAGAACATATTTATTTATGAAATAATTCCGTCCTTTTTCATTAAATTTTTCATCAACAAACGTAATAAATATCGCCCACTACAATTTTCAGTTAAGCGAAAAATCCCACCCACGCCCACGTGCCTACGAAAAGATTAAAACAACAATTATTTCTATATCTAAATTATACGGAACAGACACGTGGGCAGTGTATACATACATATTTATACACAGTTCAATAGTAATCTAACTCGCCCAATAACTATAGTTTCTTCAGAAACACGCCATTATCTTAATTTTCATATTTAACTAGCTTTGCCCGCGTCCCCGCCCGCGTGTATGTCGGTTATCGTGGTAAAAAGTAGCCTATGTTACTCGCTGATAATATAGCTTTCCATTGGAGAATGAACTTCTAAAATCGGGTTAGTGGCTTAGGCGCAAAAGCATAACAATCAAACGAACAAATTTACTTTCAAATCCATACTAATATTATAAAGCTGAAGAGTTTGTTTGTTTGTTTGTTTGTTTGAACGCGCTAATCTCAGGAACTACTCGTCCGATTTGAAAAATTCTTTCAGTGTTAGATAGCCCATTTATCGAGGAAGGCTTTAGGCTATATATCATCACGCTAAGAGCAATAGGAGCGGAGCACCAATGAATAATGTTTCAAAGACGGAGAAAATTTATTACTATTGCGAGACGCAGACGAAGTTGCGCGGGTCAGCTAGTACTTATATATTTCTAAATACATACATATTACAGATAAATTACACCCAAACTCACTTTCACATGTAATATAAGTATCAAGTATGGAAGGTGTTTGGGCCAAACGACCAGTCGAGTCACCTGATGGTAATTGACCACAGTTTTAATTAAAATACTCTGTATGTGGGAAAGCTATGCTACTGCCCAAATGGGCAGGCTCAACCGAACCACTGCCTCACAGGAAACCGGTGTTAAGCATTATTTCGTTGCTTTTCACGGATTGAGGCTACCGAACCCCAAATCCCTCCGTCTCCTGATCCTGACTGGAGGATTCGACTTTTAAAAATATCTGGAAAGATTTACTTGCAGAAATAAATATCATTTCATCATTTTCCATGTCCCGTCCGCACATTTCGCCTCCTATACCATAAAAAATCTTTTAAAAACCAAAATATAATTCATTCATTTGTCTGCCTCGGTGCACTGCTGTTCTGAAGTCTTGGGTACAATTTGCAAATATTTGTTTCGAGGTTTGGATGTTGCTATGTTTAATATGTAGGTATTAACAAAAAAAAAAGTATAATTTACATTATATATATTACAAAAAATCTAGTTTGAAACTAGATTTTTTTTTCATTTATTCAACAGATAAAAATGTACATATAAAACTAATTAATTTACATAGTAACAAGAAACCACGTCCAAAAAAATATTATTATTATTACATGGGCGCTCATTTGAATGTTTGTAAAATTCTAATTTTAGATTAACAAATTAATGGTTTCTAGTTTAATTAACGCTTTTAGCCCCCATAACTCATACGTGACATGAAACTAAGGGTGGTTTTAAGTTTAACGTATGTATTTCTGTGTCCGTCGTTGGCGTTTAACTTCTAAACGTTAAACCAATTTTGTAATAGACTCTCATGTTTGACAAAAGGGCTTCCCTAAGAGTATTTTAGCTGTAATTTAAGAGATTATTTCGGGATTTAGGAGGTCAGCTCTTTTACAATCGTTAATGTAATCGGTAGACCTACACTCTCACTCTCACACACTCTCCTTCGGTAAATGAAGGTGTAATGATCTTACATACTTGTGGTAAGACAGTATTATGCTAATATTACTGTTTAATCTACCTTTAATGTGAAGATCTTCAGTTCGAGCAGAAATCAACGGCGCCCTACCTCTAACACCGTGTTTTAACTTATTTAATCACTTAAACATCTTGCCGCACATAAACCATACAGTAAGTAAGCTAACCTCATAAATCAGGTTTAATTGTTCTCCGTTCAGAATGTTGCCATTGTAATGCCATGACGTGGGTCTTGCATTGTTCCTTCAAACTCTGAGATGGGAATGGAGGATGACTTACACAGTGAAATTAAAATTAGATTTAGTAGAATCTTATAAGAAACGCGTGTGATCATGCTAGTTTGCCTTAATATGACAAGATGAGAAACCTCAGAATATAATAGTACACAAGGAAGCATATTCAAAAGTGCTCCCCTAGAATTATGTTCAAGACTACCTGTTCTGGCAATGAATAGACTGCAACATTACCATAATTTACTTTTCTGCTTTTAATACAATACACACCCACACATATATGCTCTTACACATATACAGACACTGTTGGCAATCTGTGTATTATGATGTAAATGGAGAGCCTGGAGTTTTATAAAATACAGGCCTCGGATTAGTTTAGACTCCAGGTCTGCCACAATTTCTTATAATATTTGTCAACTTAATATGTAAGTAATACAAGAATGTACTTTGCGGAGATAAACACAAATATTATTATTTTAATAGCTCTAATATTATCAAGTGTGTGTTGCCAGTTTTGTAAAAACAACCATTATTTATGGCGCCTATCTTGTAGTTGTTTTTTGGGAAACGAACTCATGGGGGAGACCAGTTCTGTATTTTTACTAAAATTGCACTACTTCTTACACTAGCAGCAGAAAAAGGAGCGCTAGCAGCGTCGCTAATACTCCGCCATTTTGTCTCCTTTTTGTGATAATATACTATATCAAATAGTGCCATTTTTGGTGATAGCAAGGGTTATCCAATTAAAAAGATATCCAGTAAAATATGACGCAGGATATATATTTAGTTCCTTCCTTATCCATAATTCCTTTAGAATAACAAACTAATTTTTGAGGAGCAGCTCAATCCCGTTTCCCAAAGGACCTCTTACCCTCTATCTTAGTCCTAGTACCCTTTATCCTATCTTAATTTTCTTTGTTTTATAGTCACGGCATGGTTACTACTTTATTCATGTGCTAGACTTAAACAGAGGGTTCTATACTATAAAGCTAATTATTATTGACAAAAAAAAAAAAAACAACTGCTTGAAAATGTATAGGTACGAAAAATTAAAAGTTTTAATTTTTAAATAACCTAAGCCAAAATCCATCAACACTTTTAGACTACAAAGCGTGCCAAAGAAGTATAGATACCTACACTCGAAAAACATATCCCTTTTTCTGACGCAATCGGGTAAAACTACAAAATTATTTTCAAATTACAAACTCTTGGTTAATAGACACGCTTTAATTCGTGGTATTTGATTTTTTTTTATTTTTTTTTAAACTATTTACACCCAACTTACACATGTAGTAGCTTTGGTATAAAAAATAAAGAAAAAATATGTAAAGAAATTCCGGTACTCAGTTTGAAACAGAAAACACTGTTCAACAAATTTTATTAAAACTGCTACATCGAAATTGAAACAGTGAAGTTTGACCCAGCTTGTTTTAAAATTTAATACTAGAACACGGCGGCATATACAATTGCATAATGTCGTGATATTTTACAATGCCTTTAGGCTACTACTGCGTCCAGTTTTATTCATTTATTTTATTATATTTGGGCCACAGTCAAATTAACTTTTGAATGCTACAAATAGTAACACACATTTAATAACAAGTTTAAAATAATGAAATTGTTACTGTTTATATATATATAAAGTTATATATTATAAATGTAAATGTATCTGTGGCTGCTTATTTTTTGTAAATTTTTAATTATTCAACCAACCAAAATAAAATTTTGCAAATACATTGTCGGGGGTATAAATATTGACATAAATATCCTATGTCGTTTTTCTTTCAAAAGAAGAGAGTATAAAAATTAGCAGTTTTGTTAAAATTATCTTTTTAAATCCTCTTTTCTATTCATAAATCACTTCACAGAGTCAATTAGTATGTGTTAAAATTTTGCTTAGTGTTCGTAAAGTCCACTATTGAAATAAAATAGTAATTTATTTTCCAACTTACATTTTGAAGCTCTAAAACGCTATCAGCAAGAATAAACCGAGAATTCCTCTCCAATATTAAACTATGCAAACGAAGTAATAATGACGAAAGGCGATCTTCAGGAATGAAAAATTGCGGCAATAACTCACGAGAAAAAACGGCTAGCAAATTAGGTAACGTTTAGGGAACATTTTTAAACATTCGCGTCAATAGGACGGGTGTCTACCCTTGTCAGAGAGGTAGACACAACCTTACATTATGTAGTATGACACTTGGATCATAAAGATGTGAATCTTTTCTTGTGTCTGACAGCTTTTTTCTTCTTTTGAGTATAAGTTAAAGGTGTGTTGACAGATTAAAATATCTTTTGTTTTTGATGGAAACAATTGTTACAAGTTTCTAGATTATTTTATAACAAAGACAATTTGACACTTATAATCTGATCAATATACCCGTTATCATGGCACTTCTATGTCTAATTTAGGATAGGACAAACGCAAATATTTCGCAATAAATAATTCCAATATCATTTACGTAATTATTGTACTTCACGTTTACACTTGTAAAAAAAAATACTCAAAGAAAGAAGATTATTTGGTCCTTTGTAATATTAATGATGAATTTTTAAACAGTTGAAACTTCCTCTTAAAAAATCGATTATTGACAATATTTTTACTAACTTGAAACTAAGTCTATTGCAATGTTAAACATTGCACCGACTCCAAATAAAATTTAGATAATGGCGGGAAGACGTAACGGGACGATGTATGAAGATGACAAATGTATATAGTAGCGGGATGTGTCGAAATATCGATCAAATAACAAATATGCTTACAAGCGTACACCGGATAGCACGTAGCACCTTACATTAAAACGAACCTATTTATACGAGTATATAGACGATTCTTTGGATTTATTAGAGAAGGGTTTCAATAAAGAGCAAAAAATCTAATAAAGCCACACGGCCACTTGATAATGGCTTACTGGCACAAAAAGGAGATCTAATTCTTCAGATAATCGCGGCTGTGGTTTTTGCAAGGGCTTAGTAAGGTCCGTGAGGGTTGTTAGGGCGGGGCAAAGACCCTTCAACTTTAGGATGTAAGTGAAATAGTCTGTGGAAAGTTATAAACAGATTTATCAGTTTCTTTTTTTAAAGTGATGATCAGTTTTGGGTATTGATTGAACTGTAAGAAGAAAATGAGTGACTTTTGAGGATGATATGTGTATGAAATAAATATGTCCTCTAAAGGTGAGTGGCACTCCCTCCCACACCAAATGCTAGCAACGCCCACATGAGTCTTAAGTCGTAAGTGTCTATGGCGATGGTAGTCAATCATCGAGTGACCCCCTACGACTTTTTTTAATTTTTTAATTATTATATTAGAAACAAGGATCAGTACGAAAGCTTTATGACCACATAAACTCATTCGAGTTTTTCTGAGCATCTTTATCCTTCGTGACATTCAACAGTAAGTAGGCAGGTACACATATCGCAACAAAAGTACATGCTATAAAAAAAAATTGAAAGTCCATCGCCCGCCAGCAGGCAAACTGTTTTTATTATTGTGTGCGAGTAGATAATAAACTGCATTTACAGTGTGATGTTCTGTTTGCAAGTAAGCTAGATATGTATTAAAGTAAGTTGATAGATATGTATTTTTGTAACCTTTCACAAAAATAGCTACGTGTTAATATTTATTGTTTGCAAGTGACACGTAGTTTGATTGATTACGATGTATAAATACATATAAGTATCCTATATAAGTATTCCTTTGCTATCAGTTAGAAAATATTTCCAATATTTTTGTTCATGGATCTTCATCAACAGCCTTTAACAGTCCATTGCTGGACATAGGCCTCTCCTTAGAAAGGAGGTTTTGGCCTACCATACCACGCTGGCCAGACGGGTTGGTATTGAGTTTGTGTCAAGTTTTCCTTCTCTCTGCAGTGCTGGTGTCCTGCGTATTTCGCTCCCTTAGTCGCCTCTTACGACACCCACGGGGTGAATAGGGGTGGTGACACTCTGTATTCTTAATCCGTTACCATCAAATACCATTAAGAACTAACTTTCCACCCATTTTACCGAGTTACTATCATTATTGGTTGTCAACTTTATTCATCGCCATAGATTGATAGTTAATGAGCGTGATGTGAATACTGAGTATCATTCTCTTTGTTTCAGTGGCTTGTTCAACGGTAACCGTGACGAAGTGCCAGGCTGCTCTGAGGACTCTTCAAGCGTTCCCGTTCTTTAAACCAACATGTCTCTGTCGGGAACCGAACGTGGATCCTGAGTGTAACTCTTTCCGCGACTTCCTGTTCGACCATCCCTGCGTGTTTGTCATGAAGAAGGGTAAGAATATATTTTTTTAAAGACCTTTTGCATTCCTCTACACACAACATAGCAATGTGTATCACTAAACTCTGTATTGACTCGGTTTTTTCTAGGTTGTCATACACATAATATCACTTATACATGGGTGGTCAAAATTGCGGAGTACGCATGTGCATGATGTGCATTTCAATTATGAAATGACTACATTTTAGGGTGAGAAGCGAAATACCTCGGTGTCGAAGACACCATTTGATCAAGGATCCCCATCTTGAGCCTTTGGCGTTTTAAATGTGTTGTTACATCAAAATAATTCCTGGAGTCCCTTCTTTGGATGTCGCTAACAGTAGACCCACTTATGGCAGAACACGCTGGAGTTTTACTCAGTTCAATCCCGAACTATGTACTTGAACATTAGCTCGGATATGTTATGAATTGGTGTAGGTATCCATACGAAAAAATGCACGGAATAAATCTAGTTCCATTCTGATGGCCTGTTTATCAAAATACCCCGCCGCTAAATTACACATAACTCTTTTTCTCCTGCTCCATTTTTTTGAACATTAATAGGATAACTTTTATTTGCTAATCACATTCTTATCACATCGAACTTTATTTTCCTTAACACAAGTCATGCGTTTTAACAGAATAAGTGATCATCACATGATTATCTTAAAAAGTCTTGCTGTTAATATGATAGTTAGGTGTTTGTTAATTGTACTAGCGATCGTCTGACGGTCCATTCAAATAAATATATATTTAAATTTAACAGTTATTGCATAGACTTTTGTACTACGACAGGCCAAAATATTTACTGGGGACCAGTGTATGGCGATAAGTAACCGTTTTCACATAATTTTTCTTTCAATATATTATTGCTGTATTACATATTGCTTTCTGCACTTCTTCGCGTATTAATACATAGAAGATGTTATATGTTATTAAAAATGCAGATACGATAGAATTGCAAATACTTGTGTTAAAAATAACTTTGTAACAATAAATAACAGAACTTAAATTCACTCAATAATTTCATAATGTCACTAATAAGTTCACATTTAAAGAGTCGTGTAAATTAAATACATTTTTAAGTAAAACGATTTTATTCAAGCCACTGCAGCTGCTTGTCACAGCATCCGTCATGACATCGACTTTTGTGAGGCGACACTATGTAGTTTGACCGAAACAACGTTAATTAGAGCTAATCGAGTGGTGTCAAATAGGAAGTTAGCCAGATCGATCATATTGATGTTATCGAGTATATAATATAATTTTTTTTTTCTTAATAAATAATTTCTTTTACATTTAGTAGAAGACGAGGTAATTATACGAATGTCTACAAACTAAAATTAGACTGTATATGAGCAATGCTTACACGCGCACATGAAACAATTAATCATTCCTACAATTCTATATTTAATTTCTGCGATATCCACAGAATTAAAAACTTTTCTGTATTTTACGAACTGACCCGCACAACGTTGACTGCCTCTCTCAAAAGGAATAAACTTTCCCCGCTTTTGCAACATTTTTAATCGATACTTGGCTCCCATTGGTCGTTACGTGATGTAATATAAGTCTGTAGCCTTCTTTTACAAATAGCCTATCCTACACTTTTTCAATTCAAACCAATAGTTCTTGAGATTAGCGTATTCATCCAAACTTTTATACTACTTTTATACAACTACTGTAGCCCCTGCAAAAATTTAAAGCCATATTAAAGTTAGTTTACTTTATAGAAAAAGACCCGTACCCCGTGGAGACTCTGCCGACCTGCACCTATGCACTCAGCGTTTGCCATAACGAAAAGGCCTGCTCCGTGCTGTTTGAACGCTTCAAGAACGCCTGTAAAGCTCGTGAGGGAGAATGCAAGATGGAAGACAGGTGAGTTCTCAAGGCACTTAAAACCATAATTATAAAAATAACCTGACACATCTCACATACGCCGTTCGATCCCAAACTAGGCAGAGCCTGTGCTATGGTAACAAAACTGCTGATAAACATTCTTCAATATATCTAAATACGTACACATTATGGAAAAATTTGACCCAGACACAGAACAAATGATCATGCTCATCACATAATCATTTGTCCAAGGTGGGAATCGAACCGACAACCTCCGACTTAGCAGTCAGGGTCATTAACCACTAGACCAACAGGCCTGTCAATTACTTTATAAGTGTATCATTAGCTATTACATTGTGGAATCTGCAGAAAAGAAACGAAATGGTCAGGAAGTGAGCCAATCAAGATCTTGTCAACAAGCGTATAGTGGACCACCTTAAGTTTAACACTCTGTTCCGAACAAACCCGCTGACTAGAAATGATTATCTCGTATAAACGTTAGGTACGTTTATACGATATAATAATAATATTCTACCACATTCACACAACGCCATCTAGTCCCAAACTAAGCAGAGCTTGTACTATGGATACTAGACAACTGATATAAATAATAATTTATACTTTTTTTGCAAATACATACATGTTATACATAGAAACACCCAGACCAAATCAAACATTAAAAGTTCATGCTTTGTGTGCATGAACTTTTAATGTTTGATTTAGTATTTGACTTGAGCAGGAATCGAACCCGTGACTTTTAGAATAGCAGTCCGTTACACAAACCACTGTGGCATCCAGTCGTACCTACTTGTAATTCTAGAGATTGCTTCAACAGTTCAGTTTCAGACGAATGTGAAGTACCATTTCCTGACATGAAATCAATAGAGCCTAATTTAGCATCAGAGAAAATCCATAATGGCCGACATTGTAGGTATAATAATGTCTCTACCATTGGTTACTATGAATATTTTAGTGTTTAGTTTACCTGCTATCGCCAATGATTTATGTATATAACAATTCTTATAGTAAATGAATTTTAAATACATTCGTACTGTATAATAAAAAAATCAAATTACGCAAAAGTAGACTTTAAATTAAACAATTTATTTACTATACTTGTGTCGATATTTTCAATTTGGTTAAGTCAATCAGGTTTAAGAAATTTGATTGAATTTTTACATCATAGGAATGACACTTTTAGCTTGTGGCTAGTTTTGTTCATTCATAACTTGCATTTACTGTCCTACGCTTTCTTTTTTAAATCATTATGTAATAAAGTACAGAACTATTATTTCTTTATTTTAAATGTAACGAATATTATCAAAATCGTAATAGACAACTAACAAACTAATATATATTTTTTGAAAATGATACCTTATTTAATTGGCGTTAAAAACTTAAAGCAAATTATAGGTATTGGTGTTTTAGAGATTTTTTCTCTTTTTAATACCAAAAAAGTGATACTTAATGCCAAATAAAGACTACTGAGTCGTACTGTATTAGGCCCGTGTAGTGACGGATTAAGAATACAGAATGTCACTACCCCAATTCATCCCGTGGGTATCGTAAGAGCCGACTAAGGGCGCAAAACAACTCAGGACACCAGCACTGCAAAAAGAAAGAAAACTTGACACAAACTCTATACCAACCCGTCTGGCCAGCGTGGTATAGTAGGCCAAAACCTCCTTTCTAAGGAGAGGCCTATGTCCAACAGTGGACGATTAAAGGATGTTGATGTGATGTGATGATGATGTGTGTCGTGTTATTTTAATAACCAGTGATCAAAAGATAAATGAAAAACTTGAGGCACCAGTCGAATATGAAGACTGTCAATAATTAAATGTAACCTAACGTATTGTAACTACTCTTGTTGATTTAATAATCTTCATTATTAATTTATTTAAAATAGTAAGCTTAAAACATTTTACACTGTTCAAACGTTTAACTACTGTAGTTTTAACTGTTACAGTCAAACTCGTGGTAGGTGATACAGAGCGATATAACAGATGGCTGTCATTAAACAATCCAGACGTTGATTGGACACGATGCGATGGAAGTGCACTATAAACTGTCAAATGTTCCTTAAAAATGTATACACATACATTTATTTCAATTATTTCAATGTTACTCATTCATTTAAGATTACTTGTACTAATAGATAAATACATACATGAACAAATGGTCGTGCTCATCACACAAATATTTGTCCTAGATAGGAATCGAACTCAATCCACGCTTTAGAGTCAAGTGTTAATTGTAGTTGTAAAACTGCACCGATTAAATTTCAAGGAATTTGTATGACCTTTCTCATTTTACCCCTTAGGTATGGCAGCGGTTACAAATAAAATTATTACCCATGATATACAGAGGAGGAGAGATTATATTGTTACAAAATTACAACTATACTATACATGAGATCTTTAATCTAAAATTTAATAATTTTTAATTTTCTTTAATAATTTTAATCGCCTGTAGTCAAGATCTGTGGTAGTGGCGCCACAGGATGCACCTACGAACGCTCAAAGCATTTAGTCTGCACACAAATAGCAAGTAATAGCAACCCAGTCACTGTTGAATGGCATTCATTAGAATCGATCTGTTCGAATTTCGGGGCATTCAACTGTTACTTGTTATACTAACATTATAAGTCTAGACTTGCAATCGATTTTAACTTATTTTACTTTATTTCAGAAATACTTACTCGGTTTGACTTGTTGTTTTTTTTTATTTCATTATTATAAACACAAAATTAAAGAAAAATAAACTGGATTTTTGATAGAATAGACGTGTAACGAACAAAAGTTATAAGGATTGTTTTATGCTTCCGACTGTCTTACTACGTAGTGGACTCTAAACAGCTGATCCATTTTTTTAAAAAGTGCCTTGATCGAGCTAGGTTGAAAAAAGTCTATTCAGCCTGTTACATACCAATATTTTCATACTTCAAATTTCTTTTTAATTTTCTTCTTTTCTGTCTCCAGGGAAGCATGCCGAGAAGCTTGGGCTGGTCTTCGTCTATCCCCACTTTTTGGCTGCATCTGCCCCAACACGCACATGAAGAAACGTTGCGACCGTATTTTCGCCGTGGTCAACCATAACCCATGCGTCGGTGAGTACGCACCTTTACGCCTCACGCTCTGTGTGCTAGCGGGTTCTGAGTGAAAATATATTTAAAAAAAATGCCATTTACCATATTCAAAGTACTCGAATATAACTTCTTGAGTCATCTTTTTATAGGAATTCGTGTATAGAAACAAGTTAAATAGTTACAAAAATTAGACACAAAATACTTTTAATATTATTGTAGTTAAAGATTGCAATGAATTGCAGTTAGTATATTTTGAAGAAAGACCAAACATACCAAGTAGTTTATTCGGGAACTCGTATCGGACACTGTTAGTTATGTGATGGTACACGATGATAATAAAAATAACGAAAATATGCGGATGGCTAAGGAATCGTCGCAGATTCAACTACTGAGCTCGTTCACCTTTCAAGCAGTCAGCGTGTGACCACGGTCAGTGTAAAACATGTAATATTTATTACTTGATCAGTAATAAGTCGGTATGGTAATCTCTATACTTAATAACAAAATGTATAGGCATCGTTTACTAAAATAGGTCATTAATAGTTCTCCAAAGTTAAAACTACCTCCATTAGAGAAACATATAACGGAATCAAAGTCTGAAACCACTTCTATCAAACCCATCTCAGCACCCTTCCGCAATTCAAAACTATTTCCATTAAGTAACGGAGGGAATCAATAAAGTCTATTATACGGGAATCATTCAATAAGCCCGGGCATCTAATATAGTGGAGTCTTGTAGCTAAGTATTGACCACTTCTATACAACATCCAAGACTTTGATTAACTCCAGATATGGTGTAAGATGGATGTCAGGTATAATATGTAGTAACAGCGCAATAAAATACAATAATATGTTAACATCAGCCACACATGACCTGGCTAACATAGGCTTAATCCTATGCTAGCCAGATCACATGTATATACATAGCTGTACCCTGCCACGTGTGGGACATTGAGTACCATCGGTGCAGAAGTTATTGATTTTTTGAAGCGTCCATAAGCCAACTTAATATTATATATGTAAATAGATTGATTACTCATTTATTTCGTTATTGCATCATGAGAAAAAGGACTGTTAAAAAGGTCGTTTTTTTTATGGCGTAGGGAGCAAACCAGCAGCCGAGTGGTGACCCGACGCTTTTGTTTGGTGATTGTAAGTGACAGGTGCTTTGCCTCACCATAGCCCCCCCCCCCCTCCCCGAATCATGTGACGGTGAGGGAGGTTGGGCGTCGGTAACCTACCTCACTCGTGAAAAGCAACGGTTTCTCGATAGTCAAATTGGTAGACAAACTATTAAATTTAAAAAAACACTGAGGTTCGTTTTTTACGACGATTCCCTACTACTTTTTTACTACAAAATCGTGGCTTTATTGTTGTATTTTAACCGACTCAAAAACGGAGAAAGTTTGCAACTCCAATAAAAAAAACATGTTTATGTTATACAATACTTCCCTATCTGTGAACCGCAGTAACCTTTGATAATGCCATCAGGTGAAACCTGTAAGGTCAAATAAAATTAAATTATGAAATATATGTAAACGCGAGCTTGATTTCATAATGTATCATCCTAACCTTTTCATAACCTTTATTAACATACCTATGGTTTACTTCTTATTTTATAAATTGATCACAAAGAATTTCTAAAACTCCTTTCAACCTTTAACAGAGCTAGACAATTCATCCGTTCATGTTGAACAAGTATATTTCAAGTCAACAAACAGTGATTCAATATACTCTTCTACCTTAACCTGATCACATAATCTTTGGATTCAATATACCGTAGACCTTTGATTCATTTCTTATAATCCCGCAGTTCTTATTGCAAGGGCAGGGCGCCGCCGGGAAGGGCCCCTAATCCCCTGGTAATCTAGCGTCAAGTTTCAATCTCTCGAAATCCCTTTAATACTATAAATTGATCTCGACTTTTTGGAAAAGTTCTATCATTATTACTTGGAACTTAGATCTTCAGGTATTATGTTTGTACTTGGTAATTAAAAAAGTATGTGGTCAATTGTTTTCTGACTTTTCTTTGGTGACGATTAGAAAATAATTGACTAGTACAAAGCTAATACATACATACCTTCAAACAATCACGCCTATGTCCCCTAAAGGGTAAACAGAAGCGTGTTGAACGCCCCCTTTATGCTGACTTAAAGTCAGAGTCAGTTTAAGACCCACATACCCAATAGGGTCAAATCTATTGCCGTTAATTGAGGTTATAACCAACTTTTATTCACCTACAAAAGACAATTCGATGTTTACCCTTGATGTAGCAATCTTAAAAGATCTATTTTAACCAAAAAATAGTTAAAAATAAAATAATACATACAAATGTAAATAGAAAAACTTCCTCTTCAGTGTAGGGTAAACATCTAACATAAACTGAGAGCCTTTTTAAAAAAACCCGTTAAAAATTTACAACTCAGCTATTTTCAACATTGTCCTTTCTCAGTAAACAGTATATTTATAAAAAGGCAAGCAGTATATTTATACACATAACTTCTACCAATGATGTATAACACTTGTGATGGCATTTTTTGTTACTATATTAAAAAGCAAAGAGAAAATAATTAATGTATTAAATTTTATTTTAGAGTTTTAGGCCATTATCAAATTGAAAAGTAATTTCTAGGCCTTTTACTAGATTAACAACTATGTGCCAAAACAGATATGTGTTGATGAAGAATTTCAAAATTTATACAATACACAAGAATAATATTAAAATGGTGGCATTTGATAGAAATTTACTAAGAGATTATGATTTTCATTTAATAATTATCATCATTTAAACAAATTGAAATGTACGAGCAAAAAATAGAATACTAATTAAATTGCTTCAATTTCAGAAACAACAAACACTTATTCAGGTTAGGATATTGTGTTATACCGTAACATATAAGCTACATGGTGAATGTTTGTAATTGTTATTTTTATAGCAAATTCGATCAAATGCCGGTAAATGTTGACATAAACCACAATTAATTGGGGAATAAAGTCTAAGTACCTACGACGACTATCCACATAATCTAGTAGACACGCAGTATACACAACAGTAGTATACACAGAGAACACATGTTAATTAACTCATACTAACAGAAATCTTTGACATTTATACAATAACTAAATGTCTTACAAAAATTATGTAGGTTAGTGCGATATTTTTGTACTGTACAGTACAAGCTGATCAAATTATTGAAACAGATAACATTTCCCATAAAAGATATAAATTAAATACCTCAGTCCAATTTTTCTAGACATCTTTAATCCTTGTAATTGCGAATCCAATAATTTTGACATTTACGTAAGTTGTAAAAGATGGTCTGGTTAATGTCAATATTTACGGGGGTTTCGGAATTGAGTTATCAGTATCGGAGGCTAATTCCTTTTTTTTGTTGACGGATTAGAAAATCCCTTTGGATTACCGGCTCCTCGGGGACACAGAAGTCAGGAGTATGTGGTGTTTCCACTAAAAACCACCCCGAATGCCGGTCTCAGGCACCCTACTCTGGGGAGGACCATGTTATTCCAGGTCCCTCCGGATCGACGGCGCGCCTAGCCAGTCCCTATCGGCACAATCAATACGTGTTGCGGCCCGATAGCATTAGGCCGACATCCTATTGCTATCGCAGTAATTAATCTGCCACCAGAGGTGCCCACTCTCTCTCTCTCTCACTATATTAGGCATTGACGGTAAATTAGCGTCAAATTAAAGCATCGAAGAGAAGGAAAACTTGACACAAACCCTATCCCAACCCGTCTGGCCAGCGTGGTATAGTAGGCCAAAACCTCCTTTCTAAGGAGAGGCCTATATCCAGCAGTGGATTATTCAAGGCTGTTGATGATTCACCATCGAGAGATGTATCGTTCAATAGCTCTAGGTATTTTCACTGTATATGGAAGTAACTACAGACATTTTACTTTCATTTTTCAAAGTCCTCACTGTCACTTATAAGAGTAATAAAAACCATCACTCAAGCCTTAACAAGCGCACCGATTCAGCATCCGTAATAACTCCTACATAAATCTCGAATTTCTTAACAAAATGCACCCCGATAAGAAGGGGGAAGCCGCGTTAATGGCTCCACTGGCACATCCAAACGAATAAGCATAAAATGTAATCTCATCAGTACTGGAAACCGGAAAAGCGGCTGATTTAAGAGAAAAACTCTGTTTACGTGGAGTACTAGGTAGAAAATTGTAGCGGAATGTTTGTTTTTTTTTTAAAGAAATTAATGTCATTGTAAGATGTTACACTTGTCAAAAGATAAAATAAAATATCGGAAATATATCCTGAAAGATGGCACGGTTGACATTTGTCGGGCATGCCACCGTCCCGGGGAATCAATCAGGCATATTATTTCTGGTTGTTCTCGTCTCGCTAACGGTAAATATATTTGCACAGCCAAATGGTTGGGATCGTCCACTAACAGCTCGCGCTTAAATACCAACTTGTGAATCTAGATGTGCCATACCTGTAGGTGTGTGCCCAACCCAGTTCTCGAGAATGGTCGGGCCACGTTATATTATTGCCAATAAGCCTGATGTTGTAGTGATAGATCGATTAGAGCGCCGCGCAATGATTGTTGATATCGCCGTTCCTTATGACGTGAAAGTTGAAAAAGATAAACAAATAAAATATTTAGATTTATCTCACGAGAGTGTCGATATGTGGAATGTCGATTCAGTTCCGATAGTCCTATCTGCTCGCGGGTTGATAGCCAAGAGCCTCTACCAATACCTTAAGAGGCTCAAGTTAGACGGCTGGATCAAGGGTCTAATGCAGAAAGCAGTTCTCCTTGAAATGATGAAATAAAATAATAAAATAAAATGATGAAATGAAATGTTCAAATACAATGATAAAATGAACTGATGAAATGAAATGATGAAATGAAATGATGAAATGAAATGTTGAAATGAGATGATGAAATGAAATAATGAAATGAAATTATGAAATGAAATTATGAACTGAAATGATGAAATAAAATTATGAAATGAAATGAAATGATGTTTATGTCTGTAAGTAAATCTTTTCAGACTTTACAGCTAGAAGGCGCCGGCATTTCCTAAGACTCGC